TAAGTCCAAATGGTCTCCAAAGGACTAATTTAACAACGGCATCACAACGGGGGGCTGAGCGAGGTCATAAAACAAGGCAAAACTCACTTAAGATATGTTTCGCTTAGGGACCTACATTGGAGGGGGCTCGGATGTGGTCGTAAGTCAAGGACTGCCTGTATTGCAAGGACGCTCCATTGTGGCTTCACCCGAACAGCACCGTTTTACCTACCGAGAGTCCTGAACGCTTCGGCAGCCTTCGGCATGGAGCAGAGTGGCACGAATTCACGGGGAAGGTCGGGGTTTAAGCACGCGGCCACCGGCCCCCTGTTTTGGAAACGGGGGTTTTGGGGTGCAGCATCCAGAACCTTCTTCAGGGCTTTGACGGAATCCAAAGAGAAGGAGACATTTTGGACCTGTGCGGCAGAAGAAGAGGAAAAACAAGGTGTTTCTTGCGCCTCGAAAAGCTCATCCACAACTTCTGGAGGCCAGTTAATTGATTTGGGGTTAGAATGAGGGAATTGGAGGGGGCCTTGGAGGTCTTCTAGTCCAACCCCCTGCTCAAGCAGGAGACCCTGCACCATTTCAGACAAATGGTTGTCCAGGCTCTTTTTGAAAGCCTCCACTGAGGGAGCAACTCACAACGTCTGAAGGCGCGCTGCTCTTTTCATCTTCCTTCCTTCCTTCCTTCCTTCCTTCCTTCCTTCCTTCCTTCCTTCCTTCCTTCTTCCATTTCTTCCTGCTTTCCTTCCTTTGTTCCTTCCTTCCTGGCTGCCTGCCTTCTTTCCTTCCTTCCTTCTTCCCCTTCTTCCCCTTCTTCCTGTCTTCTTCCCTTCCTTCCTTCCTTCCTTCCTTCCTTCCTTCCTTCCTTCCTTCCTTCCTTCCTTCCTTCCTTCTTTCCTGCCTGCCTGCCTGCCTGCCTGCCTGCCCATAACCTCCAGTGGGGGAGCACCCACAACGTCTGGTGGTAAGTCGTTCCACTGGCTAATTGTTGTCACTGTCAGGAAGTTCCTCTTTGCTTCCCTCGCAAAAATTCCAGGTTGGATTCCATCCCTTCCTTCTCCTTCCGCCTTCAGGTGCCTCCTCTTTCTTCTCCTCCCCTCCTCCTCTTCCTCCTCCTCTCCTCTTCCTCCTTTCCCTCTTCTCCTTCTTCTCTTTCTCCTCCTCCCCTCCTCCTCCTTCTCCTTCCTCTTCCCCTTCTTCTTCTCCTTCTTTCTCTTCTTCCACCTACCCTCATCTTCCTCCTCCTCTCCTCCTTTTCCTCTCCTCCTTCTCCTTCTTTTTCTCCTCCCCTCCTTCTCCTTCCCCTTCTNAGGGAAGAAGGAAGGAAGGAAAAAGAGAAGGAAAGAACGAAGGAAGGAAGGGAAGGAAGGAAGGAAAAAGAGAAGGAAAGAATGAAAGAAGGGAAAGGAAGGAAAAAAGGAAGGAAAGGAAGGAAGAAGTGAGGAAGGAAGGAAAGAAAGAAAGAAAGAGGGGAAGGAAAGGAAGGATGGATGGAAGGAAGGAAGGAAAGGAAGGAAGGGAAAGGAAAGGAAAGAAGGAAGGAAAAAGAGAATGAAAGAACAAAGGAAGGAAGGGAAGGAAGGAAAAAGAGAAGGAAAGAATGAAGGAAGGGAGGGAAGGAAGGAGAAAAGGAAGGAAAGGAAGGAAGGAAAGGAAAAGAAGGAAGAAGGAAGAAGGGAGGAAGGAAAGAAAGAAAGAAGGAAGGGAAAGAAGGAAAGGAAGGTCGGAAGGAAGGAAGGGAAAGGAAAGGAAGGAAGGAAGGAAGGAAGGAAGGAAGGAAGGAAGGAAGGAAGGGGAGAAGGAAGGCAAGAAAGGAAGGACTATTCTTAGAAAGAGAGGAAGACGATTCAGTCTCTGCAGCACGGGCATTTCGGAAAAAAAACATTCATGTGTTTTATTAAACTCAAATCTATCCCTGGCGGGCGGGGGGGGGGCAGATTCTTAATCCGAGGCCTTGCTTTTCACCCTCCCTTCTGGTAATCCCGTAATTTGGAGCTCAGCGCCCATCAGATGATGGTTTTTAATCTGTCCCCCCCACCCCCCCACCCCAAAAGCCTGGCTGAGCCTCGCACGCTCACGATTTTCATTCGTCCACCCCAGAGATAAAACATCAACATTCAGGCCACTGACCGTGGTCCCGTGGGCTGCGTCACGTCTCTTCATGGGGGTGCGAGCTGCAGGGCGCCAATCGCCAATTTCTCTCTCTCTCTTTCTTACTTATTTATAACCCTTATATTTATATATTTATAAATATATTTATATAAGGTAGGACTAGAATTCACCGTCTCCTGGAGATTGGCCGCAAGTCACCAAGCTGGCTTTCATTATTAAAGTGGGACTAGAACTCCCCTGTCTCCTGGCAATTGACTCAAAGTCTCCCAGCTGGCTTTCATTATTAAAGAGGAACTAGAACTCCCTGTCTCCTGGCGATTGACTCAAAGTCTCCCAACTGGCTTTCATTATTAAAGAGGAACTAGAACTCCCTGTCTCCTGGCGATTGACTCAAAGTCTCCCAGCTGGCTTTCATTATTAAAGAGGAACTAGAACTCCCTGCCTCCTGGCGATTGACTCAAAGTCTCCCAGCTGGCTTTCATTATTAAAGAGGAACTAGAACTCCCTGCCTCCTGGCGATTGAGTCAGAGGCTCCCAGCTGGCTTTCATTATTAAAGAGGAACTAGAACTCCCTGCCTCCTGGCGATTGAGTCAGAGGCTCCCAGCTGGCTTTCA